ATATATATATCACTCATTTCGGTGTTTACACTTGCTGCTTAGCCAACAAGATACAAAAGGTAGTGAAATCTATACTCTTCCAACTGGGGAAAGAGGAGGAAGTGAGGCATACTTTGCAGAGACCTCTTGCTTGGAAATTTTTGCCATGTTGTTTCCTGGTAATGTAATTTCTTCAGAAGTCTTGCATCCGACAAAGTTGTCCGGTTCTGAGAAGACAGCTGGTTTCATGCCGTTAAAAAGGGCTATTCCAATGGAAAATGCTTGTAGAAGCTCGAGTGATGAACTAAACTCGACTGAGAAGATCCCATCACTGAACCATGACAAGCTGAAGAAGGGCTTAGACTCTGAAACTTCGTCCTACGAAAAGAGGAGACCAAAGTCAGGAATAGTTTAAAACACTGTTGTGCTCGAATGAACAATTATTAAACTACACAACGTAAATACCTGAGAAAATAGCTCGAATCGCCCTCCAGTTGAGCTGCATTTCTCACTTGACAGGTTGTGATTAGCAAGAACTCGTATTTTACATCCCATATCCCAACCCCCACAATCACACGATCCCCCGGATTTCCATCGTTCGATTAGTGGAGAAGGTTCTCCTTTACCAGGCACTCCATGATCTCCGCCAGGAAGTACGACTGTCGTACTTAGTAGGTCTTCACTTGGAACCAAATATAGATTTCCCTCGTCATCTTTAGAGTTATCACTCAGCAGGACATCTCCGTTTATCTGTCTATCAATCTTTCCCGGAAATTTCATAATAATAGCTGCAAGTTCATCACTAGGCAACATGTCTGATGTTTGATGATCGACATCTCCAGTACCCACAGAAAACAATACGAACTCCCTAGTTCTAGATTTAATAACAGACCTCTGTCTGCTCGGCTCCAAGGAGAAAACATCAGAAACTCTCATCTGTGCGACAACATTAGGAATATATCCGTGATTTCTGTCTTTACCTCCTTGATTTATCCAATGTCCATTCTTTTTCTTCATTTCCCGCATAGAGAAAAACGTATACATCCATCTGTTCACATTTTTTCTCAAACTTAAATTTTTTACCGTCGCTGCTAAAATGTCTCTTTTTTTGTCAACAGCAAATGTGAAAAAAGGAAGGCCATTCTTTACAGCCACTTGAAGGAGAGCTTGTACTGTTGATGATCCAGTCTTCTCATTATTTGGGTTATCAATATCAATAGTCTTGCAATCCTTCAAATCGAATTTTGCACTTACAAAATGAAAAGCTGGCGCTTCTCCCCGTACTATGGACGATTTGACAGCCCTATCAGTTGTGGACGAATTTCTCTCCAATGACTTACCAAAGTGATTGGATATGCCTGCCTTTGGCTTCAAAAATGGATCAAGTAACCTTCTCAAAGGACTTGATCTGGATCTGCTAGTATCATTTGATTTATCACAAGTAGAAGTTACCTCTGAACCAGATTTAACCGCAATATCTTTGGCGCCTGAATGTGGAATTGCTGAAGTCTCTTTTGAGCTCGGACACTTGCCCATTTTACCCATGTCAAAGCTAAATCGACGAGTTGGTGAAGGATTCCTAACCTTATCAACAGCAGAAATGTCTGTTTTCGGGTTTAATTCTTGATCAGAAGATTTATTTTTAGTTACGTCTTTTGACATTAGGCTCAAATTCTTCTCCTCCAGCTTCTTGCCACTGGAGGGACTAAATGAGTTATTGACCGGAAACTTTACTCTCTGACTTCTCTCTGACGACAACTTTATACTCTCATCTTTGGAGCAGGAGTCATCTAACCATGAGACTATATTGTTGGCTTCATGAGGGACATCTGCACGGCAGACACTCACTCTAGATTCTCCAGAAAGGCTGTGTTGATTTACATCCATTGATCTCTGATCACCAACTTTTGATGAATAGGATGGATCGGAAATTGCAGAAAACCTATTCTCCGGTCCATCTTTTGGAAATAAGACCGCATTTTTGTTTCGATCACTGCAATAATGATCAGTAATATTGCGCCTTGTAACTTCTAATTCCTCTTGTCCCATCATGGCTCCATGTCGAACCTTCATCTTCCCTTTCGAACAGGATGCCATGCTATCACTTTCCAAATGTTGCAATCTCCTCATCTCAGAATTTCTCTGAAGGTCCGGTTCTTTACTTCTTCGCTCCTTTAATCTGTTCTCAGTGTCTTGGCTAAAAGACTGATGTTCACCCACTGGACTCCGTTGCACCTTCAGTGGATGAATTGGACCAGCTTTGCAGTCTTGAAACTTCCCTTCATTTTTTGAAGAAATTGGTGAGATATTGGTACAAAGAGGTGTGTGCTTCCCATTTCCTGGGATGATCTCCTTCTGATTAAGCTGCCATTTCTCGAGAAGGTGCCAATCGAGGACCCCAACATTGAAAGCCTTTTCCCGGGGGTTTTCTCCTCTCTCCAGAAAACTCGGTAATTTTGACATGTACTTAACAAGTTCTTCACTCTGATGGACCTTCCTTTCAACCCGTTGCTTTTGATGAAACCCATTATATTTTGATAAAGAGCTGTCTACACTCTTTATTAATTCTGGGTGGAAATCTTCAAAATACCTTTCTATCTTATCAAACTGCAACCTGTGCCCCAACTTTGTATTTTGTCTCACTTGGTGCAAGGAACAAGCATTTGGTATCCCGGATTTTTTTCCATCAGTTGATTCTTTTTCAGGATCTAACTGGTATTCCATATGGCTGCTAGTCTGCACCACCAATAGTCCGATATCAGATTCATTATTTTGGGAAAAAAATAATTCAATTGCTACTAAAAACTACAAAAGTTAAATGGATTTTAAACTATCAGAGATGAAAGATCACAAGAGCTAATAGACAATGTAAATAGTTTCCTACAACTGCAGGTGATCAAGTACAACATCTATATGATTTTCAGTACATTTAGGACGACACCCAAAAAAATAAAATGGTATGCTGTCGGTGCATGCAAATGGGTGAAAGAAGAAATGGGCAAGATAAATTAATATTTCTTAGTAAATCTGCTAGGATTAAGCCCTAATTCCTTTCTTCAAGAGCAATAATAAATAGAACGAAAAATCCAGAACAAGCACAACTAAGTTAGTTCACCTTTTCTGAGGGCTAGTCCACTTGCAGGATTTTACTATAATGGAGAAAAATTTCATTATACCCCTCACATACTGAAAACAGGCTCTCATAAAAATCCTTTACACAGTACAAATATTAGAGTGAACTAATATATGTATTTCATACAACCAATATAACACTCCAAAAAATTTCAGGGTCGGGGGGGTTAAATTAAGCTTCAAACATCCATCAAATCTTTAGTCCAAACAGAGATAGGTCAAGTACCAAGAGAAACTTTAACGAATCCCAAAACCAGGGTAACAAGTCAAATTTCCCCAGCAAGTAGAAGCTTTCCCACTCCGTTTCACCAAATGTTAATTACATATTCATGTCAGTTTCGAAATATGACCAAGAAAACAAACAATGGTCTCAATGACCAAATGGGACTCAAGAAGGAAATCTCTCTCCCTAAGGAGAACAGCGTGTTACACTGTATGAAGAGGATAATAATTAATAATATAATCTCGGTGGCGCAGATATTCTAAGAAATTTTCTAGGAGCTCGAGACTTTGCAAAGACCTCCTGGAACAGAAGTCACAGGAATACTGAGGGCTGAGCAAATTCAAAAACACCCAAATTGACAAATGACTTAGATTCATCAGATGCACTTGCATTTCCAAAGCTCTTTCCATTAATAACTACACAAATCAAGGCCTTATAATCATAACATAAAAAAAAATCCCTAATGAAGAACCATCAATTTTGTCCATGAGAGCCCCAGTTGACTTCCTAATAGTACAAAATTATACTAATGAAAGATGCAAAAAGACAGCACAGGATACATGTAGGCAAGGTGAATCCAAAGAACAATCTGAAAGAGAAAATTGGGTGGTCCAAAAGGCCCATTAGAGTGACTTGTGAAGAAAAAGCGACCGGGAGACTTCTTCAAAGCTGGAACCTTGTAAAAGATCACCATCAATGGCTACGAAATCATAAACCTTCCAAATCTCAAAACTTTTGGACAGTTGACTCTTTCATTAAGTTACAGACAAAAAATTAAAAGGTAAAGTTACTTAAAAGAAACTAAAGTGGGTGGGGGGGGGGGGGTTCCCATTTTTTTATTTGTTGAATTGGCATTCTTTTTCTTCTTTTTCGATTTCGTTTCTTCATTCTTTCTCGTATTTTCCCATATTAAAAACTAAGGGCGGACATTTTTCACTTGAACCATCAGGACTGACCCAGAATTGGACCAAATGGAGTGTTTCTAAATATAATTTTTATAGTGCAATGAAACAAAAAACCAAACCTTCTGCTTCTAGAATTAGGTTTGGCTTTCAAAATCCGTCAAAGTACTGATTTTGCTCAAGAAATCAGTAATATTTCATCTTTGAGCTCTTAGTTATTACTTCTAACCAGCAAAATAGTTGCAAAAGAGGGGAAAACCCACCTATATCAACATTCACATTCTTGAAATTCAATCGCTTAAGGAAAAAATGAAAGACATACCTCACCTTGCTCTAGGCGAGCAATGAAGATACAGAGCTAAAAAAGACCTTGGAAATAAGAAAAAAGTCGGTGAAGTAACCAAGGACAGTAACTCAGAGATCAAAAAGCTGAGGAAAAATGATTTTCTACACAATCAAAGAAAAAACCCATCATTTTGTAGCATCCCAAAGAGCTCTTTTTCCTTCTACTGCTTCACAGTCCAAACTCCAACGCCAAAAACAAGAAAGAAAATACAGAGAGAAGAAAGAAATATGGAAAGGAGTGCCCTTCAGGTTGGAGCACACTTGTTTTGTGCAGCAGAATCAGGGAGGTGAGAAATGATCAAACGGTTGAAAATTGAGGAGGTCACATCAGATGGCGCTCTAGGACCCCACATGATGACTTATTTTTATGCTTTGTTTATTGGATACTTATGGCAAAAGCAGAAAAGGTTAAAGAAGGGGTTGTTCATCAGAGCAAAAGGTTGAATCATAGTAGTATCAATGGGGTCCCAGATTAAGATATTCCATTACGTTGGACATCGTGATGAAGATGAGGAAATTAAGGTGTGCAGAATCATTTATGCATTTCATTTTTTTAATTCTTAAACTCTTTTTGTTGATTCTCACATGGGTTGGGATTGAATGAGGTGAATTTGTCTAATTTGTTGTCAAATTTTGGGTTTAGTTTTCTGGGGCTTGTGTTTTGGCCGTTTGTAGCAGAAAACAGGAATCACAGGGCACACAAATCAAATGGGTGGCAATGGTGTTTAATTTGGGTGTATTTTGGTTTTATGGGGCTTTTATGTCCTCCCATGATTAAAAGACACTCCATTTTAACGAGATTTTGTAAAAAATAAAAAATAAATTGGAATAAGAATTTTTTGAAAAACGCGTGATTGAGCTCCGTTTGTCTCCATTGAAATTATAATTTATTTTTCTTCATTTTCTTATCAATTACACATTTTTCAATAAAATAATGTTAAACGTATTTACAAAAAAATTTCTTCTTTTTAACTATAAATTTTTCAAAAAAACACTATTTCAACCATTAAAATTTCAAATAATGGGATCAAACGAAGGCTAAAAAAGATGAATTTTATTTTATTTTATGTGTAATATTAATTTAAAGGATAATTACAGCGGAGACCGCAAACCTTTCAAATAGCTGCAAACTTTCCACTTACTTTTCATTCGTTGCAATCGTTTCCTCTAATCTTTCGAAACATTGCGACTGAAGCCCCAATGGATGGATTCCATCCAAATGTCTGATAGTTGACCAAGAAATTGAGTTTGACCACATTTTTTATATTTTTTGTAAGGAGCATAATGGTAACTTTCAATTTACTACATTAAAATAAGTTAAAACTAAATTAGAGAAACAAAAAAATATAAAAAATAAAAATAAAGACTGTGGATCCCCACCCACCCCACCCCGATAGTTAAAACCAAATTATCTATC